ACTCCGCGTCGTCAGCCAACGCCCAACCACTGGCTTCCCAAGGCTGAACTTCCAACCAATCAGCAATCTCGGGGAAACCCCCTTTTCTGCAAGGACCACAACAAAGGGAATCCCCCTACACAGGCAACGCAAATACCTCCAGATTCTAGCTGAACTGGTGCATTTAATATATAAATTTAACCTCATTGAGGAACTCAATTTGAGGGTTAATTAAGTGATTGATGGTTGTTCATGCAATTGCACATATTGCTGTAAACTTGGGATTTCACATTTTCATTCTCTTAAACTCATTCTTTCCTCACTTTCTCTCTTCCTGCAACTTATGTGAATGTGTGAGTGTGTGTGTTTATGTGTTAGACTAGTTTATATGTCTTAGATTTATCTAATAAAGCCTTATTTATATTGAAAAGAGAAGTATCTTGTGTTTTGTGCTTACAAGTTAATGTCTTAAACTGCCGATCTTGTTACTGTGCTAATTAATAGTGTTACCAGTGGTGGGCCGTCAGGGCCAGCAAAGCCTTCTCTGCTGGCCTAAACACTATCAGATTCACTGATTTAGTTTTAATATATTTTTCCATGAATGTGTATTAAAATATTTCCAATAGTCTATTCTCTTCAGTTCATAGCTAGTTCACTGTAAATAATTGTATTAAAACTTAGTAAAACTTTTATTTCTTTTTCTCAGGTTTAGATTTTCAGTGCATTTTGAAAAAATATTTGCCTACTATATTTAGTAAATCTAAAAACCGCACTCCTAATGACTGCGAAAAACAACCACACACCTCCTCAGCACCGGCTCTGTGAAAGACTCGTGAAGATGAAAAACCACTAGAGTATGGTAAGTTAATTTTCAGTTTTGACTCTTTTATCGCTTGATGCGTTGTATACTGATGTTATTTGCGCAATATAAAGCCAGGTTTAAGTTTCCGTAAGAATATCTCAGTTTCCCGAGTGGAGCTGTATTAACCGGTCTTTGTAATGGCATTAATTCTCGCTACATAAGATACCTGTCTGTTATGTGGTGCCCTGTTATACCGCATTATTGTGTAATATTCATGGTTTCTATAGCCGTGGCATCATTATGATGGTATGAAGAGATGGATTAATTCATGTAGGACGCCACTGAAGGCCAAGGTGTAAAATGCACGGGCCGCCACTGGTTTTCACTATATTTTGGATATAAATATCCATTGCAGAGTTGATGTTATACGGCCCGTTCAATGAATCGCTGGCCGTCTCAGTGAGCAGCCGTAAAACAGTGATTCTGTTAAATGATTCCCTTTGAGTTTCCCTTACAGCTCTCAATGTCAAATGCAGAAATGTTAATCCATGCGTTTATGACCTCAAGGTTAGATTATCGTAATGCTTTATTGAATGGTTGTTCTGCATGCTTAATAAACAAACTCCAGCTGGTCCAAAATGCAGCAGCTAGAGTTCTTACTAGAACCAGGAAGTATGACCATATTAGCCCGGTTCTGTCAACACTGCACTGGCTACCTATTAAACATCGTATAGATTTGAAAATCTTGCTTGTTACTTATAAAGCCCTGAATGGTTTAGCACCTCAGTATTTGAACGAGCTCTTGTTACATTATAGTCCTCCACATACGCTGCGTTCTCAAAACTCTAGCAATTTGATAATACCTAGAATATCAAAATCAACTATGGGCGGAAGATCCTTTTCCTATTTAATGCCCAAACTCTGGAATAACCTACCTAACATTGTTCGGGAGGCAGACACACTCTGTCAGTTTAAATCTAGATTAAAGACCCATCTCTTTAACCTGGCTTACACATAACACACTAACACATTTCTAATATTCAAATCCGTTAAAGGATTTTTAGGCTGCATTAATTAGGTCAACCGGAACCGGGAACACTTTCCATAAACTTTCCACTGTCTGGTGCAGTCTTAACAACCTGGAGCTGAACACCCTCAAAACAGTGGAGATGATCGTGGACTTCAAGAGGAACCCCCCTGCACTCCCCCCACTCACCATCATGGACAGCACTGTGGCTGCAATGGAGTCATTTAGATTCCTGGGCACTACCATCTCTCAGGACCTGAAGTGGGACACTCACATTGACTCCACTGTTAAAAAGGCCCAGCAGAGGTTGTACTTCCTTCGTCAGCTAAGGAAATTCAACCTGCCACAGGAGCTGCTGAAGCAGTTCTACTCAGCCGTCATCGAGTCTGTTTTGTGCACTTCAATAACTGTCTGGTTTGGTTCAGCTACAAAATCAGACATCAGAAGACTACAGAGAACGGTTCGGACTGCTGAAAGGATTATTGGTGCCCCCCTGCCTACCCTCCAAGAACTGTATACATCCAGAGTGAGGAAAAGGGCTCAGAAAATCACTCTGGATCCATCACATCCAAGCCATCTCCTTTTTGAACTTTTGCCATCTGGTCGGCGTTACAGAGCACCGAATACCAGGACAGCCAGGCACAAGAACAGTTTATTTCCCCAGGCAATCTACCTAATGAACAGTTAATGTTCTCCCATTGTGCAATTAAAGTATGTGCAATAACCTTATACTTATTTATCCCCTTAAAATTCTAGTAAATCCATACAACTTTATTTTATTTTATTTTATTCTATTCCTATTCAATCTATAACACACCTGTACATACAATTTATTATTTTTTGTGGTTTATATTTATGCATGTGTATTTAATTCCCATCTTATTTTTATTATCTGTGTGTTGTTGTTGTCTCAGTGTACTGGAAGCTTGTGACACTATAACAAATTCCTTGTATGTGCAAACATACTTGGCAATAAAGCTCTTTCTGATTGTGATTCTGATTCTGATTACCTGCAGAAATCAATGAATTTACAGTTTTTTTAAATTGCTACCAGATGGTGGATCAGCACCTAGAGAGGACCTCTACAGCCTTGAAAGTCAGCAGAGACCAGGAAAACTAGATGAGCCGCAGATACAGATCCCCAGTAAAGATCTAGTCTCAGACAGCCACCAGGACAAGACTACATGAGCCAGTTGAGTCCTCTGCACAATGTGACTTTGCTGCAGCCTGGAATTGAACTGCTGGTTTCATCTGGCCAGAGGAGAACTGGCCCCCCGACTGAGCCTGGTTTCTCCCAAGGTTTTTTCTCCATTCTGTCACCGAAGGAGTTTTGGTTCCTTGCTGCTGTCGCCTGTAACGAATCAGCTCATGGGAAATATGAATAATTAACCATAACTAGTTATAATTAATTATGAATATTTTAGATCCACTGTAGATATTTAGCTGACCTGTCAGGGTCAACTGTCTTGTCAATTCTAAGAACGTTAATTTCCTGGTTAAGGGAAATAACTTTCTTACTGTACAATTCACACACACACACACAGTTTGTATAGGAAAGGGTTAAAAGCTTAACGCAGTTAAGAGAAGAGAAATAAGAATATGAAGCTATAGAACCATTTGCATATTCAGCAGATCTGCCCGAGGGAACATCCGATTCTTAGTTCAAACACACCTTGGTAAAAAGGTGCAACTGATACCTAATATATCAATGATAGCAACGTGATACTTCCGGTTTCCTTTTCTCTTTTAATTCTAGGTTGAGGACACTTCGTATATGCATCCTACAGAGGATGCGACCTCCAGAGGATCCTGGATGATGACATCACTGAATTCAATGATGAACTGCCTTTAACACTATTTTCCAAATTAATGCTGTACAGTTGCTTTGACACAATCTGTATTGTTAAAAGCGCTATATAAATAAAGGTGACTTGACTTGACTAAGAGTTCAGAGCCCAACTAATAGAAACACCAATTGGCATTATTGTGATTTCAAATGAAACAAACATTAGATTTAAAACCCCTGTTAATTCTCAATAAGAACTTCTTTAGACCCCTAACAGAAATAAAGTCAATCTGATTAGTAATAAGTGAAGCTGGAAATGCTGTTTGTGGAGTTGTTTAATCCTCCTCTGCTGAGATCTTCAGAGATTTAATGTCTTTTATCTTCAGCTGAATTTATCACAGTTGAAGGCTGTGGCTGCAGTCAGTTGTTGTTGTTGTTGTTGTGTTTCTGTTTGTCTCTTTTTTTCTTTTCTCTTCTTTTCTTCAGTGATTTTGCTTGTTAACAAGCTTAGACAAGCTGAGAGGACTCTATAAATAATATATGAAGATTTTGTGGCTCAGATAAGATCCAGTGTGGTTTATTTCTTTGCTATTGGCTGACATGTGGCATTGCTATGGCCTGCTTTTGGCCCAGATCTGGCAAACAGGAGCAGTCCGCCCAAGTGCCATCATTCCACTCTTACACCAATTGTGTACTCTGTACCAAATTTTTGGGATCTTTAACAGACAACAAAAGACATTTGCTCTTGATGGGTTTTTGAGATAGCTAAATGTTTTAGCTATGCTACAGTCATACAGGAGTGACTCCACTCCACTTACATACAGTACTTTCCCACTAGAGCTATGTAAGTGCCAAGTAAACACAGTTTGATTGAGGACATGCATGTGGGAATATGCTGATGAATTTGCTGATAGCAGAAGCATTTCCAGCTGTGTCAGCTTTTCTATCTCAAACAGTGAGCACGACTGTTTTCTGTGCTGTGAAGTATAATGCTGCGAAGCAAGAGGGCAAGGCTACTCTGTTTTGGGTTATTAAGCTGTCAGTCAGGGCAATCGTTTCATTAGAAACCAACAAACCAAAACAGAAGGGGGAAAAAACTTGCACTTAGAAAAACAGCTCTTTTACTTCTCTTTCAGTAGTTTAAATTTGCATATGGAGTTATAGACTTTGGAATAACTAGGTCTTTGAGCTTTACCATATAGAACAAATACAAAACCTCAGAGCAGGAATAACCAAACAAAAGATAATAGTAAAAATAAAAATGAGCCATTTCACCACAAACTTTTTCACCCTTAACACGAAAAATACACATCACAAAATTTGAACTCGCACCAGGGGCCCATTCTTCATTCGTGAATTATTCAGATATCTGGATTTTACTGTTGACATGACCAAGGACATTCTTCAAAGCTCATCCTGGAGTTGCTATCATAACAACAGGTTCATAAATTCAAACCTGCTCGGGAGCAGGCTTATTTCATGTAAACAAGATTAGATTGCATCTTTTTAAGCAGAGGGGATACTGAAAGTCTGACCCTGCCACTGCTACTTTCTTACAAGAGCACCCTATTGAACCAGGTAAAATAATAATTAAAAATAAAAACAGCAATAATAATAATTATAAAATAAATGTGAAAAAAATACAATTGTTGTGTAGTCTGTAATATTGCAGAATCGAATGCAGAATCAAGCACAATCTACACTTGTTTGTCTTTTCAACCTGTTTGCGAAAAAACAAAACAAACAAAAAACATTTACATTATGGATTTAGCAGATGCTTATCCAATGGGATGTATAAAATGTAACAAGTAATTAGATGAAGAGTTAACAAATATCATAATACATAATGCTAGGTTTATTAGACAAATAGATGTGGCTGCATTTAAAAATGTATAGTATATAAACAGTGCTACTGATTACATACTAAATCAGTAGCAGTGTTCAAGCTATTGTATTTAACACAATCCTGTATTTTCAGCAAAGCAGAATTATAAGTATTTATTTGCTGGTGTCACCATTGCCATTCGCATGGTTTTCAAGTATCAACATATCTGCCCTTTACAATGAACACAAGGATGCACAGTAATCTCAGACAACTTAATCCAAATATTTTAATCAAATCCACAAATTTGTTTGAAGAACCAAATTAGTCAGATATCAATAATCACAAGAAGATCTGGCACAGGTCAGATCATATAAGATGTATTAACAGAGGTAGAAAGAATGGACACCAGGGGCCTCATTTATAAAATGTTGTGTAGAAACCATCCTACATTTGATCTTACGATCATTTCTTAAATGTGCGTATGTGTGATTCCGAGAACGAATGACTGCACAAAAAAAATCACAAATGGTCTTGAAATTGTGTACAACTTAATGGTTTCAGATATTCACCGCCTAATTAATGTCATTAACATCTAACAAAGCACCAGTCAACATCCAAATCCTTTATTTGACACCGGAGAGCAACAATGATTGCTTATATTTCCAAATACCTGCAGTACTCCGACTATGCCACATGGAAAAATGTGTACATCTGCTTAGACCCTGACATGTCACTAAGCACTTTTTCACAGCAAGGACAGTTTTTATAAATTTTAACGTTTGTTTGAATTTTTTTGCATACGTACACTCTAAGATCAAATCTGTGCATAGCCTATATAGACTGTAGAGATATACACTAAAGGTTACCCAATGAAAAAAAAACAAATAAATAAAATGCCATTTCAAATAATACATTCAACTGTGAAAAGGCAGAAAAAAACAGGTAAAATCCTGCATCTCAAATCACCAATATACATTTAAAAAGGAAAGAAAATAATTGTAGTGATGTTTTTAACACATTACTCTTGTAAGAGTTCTTGTACACAATTAGCCGATTTAAATATCTGTGGAACCTCAGAGTCCAGTTTGCAGATAACTTTATAAATGGCCTTCTTCCACGATGGATCCACATCTCTACTGGCCACTATAGCACTGAAGAACTCATGCAATGTTATCTGAGCTACCTCCAGGAAACTTTCAGGGACCTGCAGAAACGCATAAGAAGAGAAAGTTAAATATACCGGGAAATTAGAAGTGTTAACTTTTAGTTCATCACAGGACCTCTAGATCCGCCACATGATCATCAGAGTACTCCTTATAACACTGCCTTTTGCATTTGAAGTAGGTCAATTAAAGTATACAGGCCTATTGCATTTGAGTTTAACTTTTTTTGTGTTGTGTATCAGAGTATAAGTAGTAAACCCACCACAATTCTTAAAAACATTCATATTAATGGAAAACTGTATGTAAACAAGTGTGAAGAGGTTTGTCAGGTGAACTTAATTCAATTAAGTCATTACACTGTTTATTGTCAGTTAATCACATTACTGGTGCACATGTAAATGTGTATTAGCTTTAAAGTCATTTATGAGTCTTTCTTCCACACTATTAGATTTGTGGACTTTGTGGAAGGTAGTCTCTTCAAAAAAGCCACAAAAAAAACCACTTAAAACTCTCGCCAGTATATTGACTTTGTTCGCAAACAATATCCACCAGTGTTGATTGAAATCACAGAGGTAGAAATTATTTTGAAAAATTGATTAAAATGGCACTTTATGATGCACTTTATGTATCCTAAATACACAATTTTCACAATGATCACCCTTCTCATACATCACGATGTTGGGTTCCACCATTCAAGCATTGGCAGCTACAGTGTCTTGTTACACTAAGCTCTCTGACCAGCTTCATCAGCTACGAAGTACCCTTAAGCCCTGTCCTTTAGATCAGTGGGTCCCAACTACATTGGCGGAGCCCCCACAACAACTGTTATTTTTATATAATCTCCATAATCAAACACACCTGATTAAGGAAATTAGCTCATTAGTAGAGACTCCAAGACCTGAAATGAGTGTGTCAGACAAAGGATACATGCAAAATGTGCAGTGTTGTAGGGGCTCCAGAAACGTGGTTGGGAACCACTGCTTCAGGTGTCCCTTCAGCTTTCTGTCTTAGTGTTCATTCTCTAGCCATCTGCCTTGACCTCCAAGGAATCCAATATGACTTGCGTCACTACCCTGCTCCCTTTTAGGGCCTGTGACTGGGGAATGATGGTATGGGATTCCAGATAGCGTTCTGTACCACATTTAATAATTTTTCCATTGCAAAGAAAAATGGCTTTCTTTGCCCCTGGATTGACTACTAGGGGCTAAATGACATAACTGTTAAAACAGGTGTCCTTTACTGCAGCAGTTCTCAACTCTAGTCCACAGTACTGCTCATTTTGTATGTTTGTAAGTTACACACCTGATTTTAATCATCAGCTCCTTAGCAGAGATCTACATGAACTGATCTTTACATATTTTGAAGTTGGAACTGCACATGTACCTTCTTTGTGTACACAGGTGGTTTTTAACACATCTGTGTGTCATTCTGAGTATGCCCTTTGGGCTGACAAATGCCCTGGCAGTCTTCCAGGACTTGGGGAACAACGTGCTGAGGGATATGGTCAATCACTTTGTTTTTGTTTACCTGGATGATACACTGATCTCCTCTTCATTTCTCCAGGAATACACCCAGTATGTATGCTGAGTTTACTAGAGGTTGCTGGAGAACCAGCTATTTGTCAAGGCACACCACAGAGTTCCACTTAGTTATCCATAAAATAACATTATATTTCTCCAGAATCATTGTTAATGTATACAATGACTTCACCCTAGCATGGAGGATTGTGTACTGTGCCATTTTCAGTTTTTATTTTGTCCTTCTGTGACTTAAATAAAGTGTGTGATTTATATAGAGGAATATAGTAATATTGATCACACATTTTCTTTGTGTTTGTGCTGTTTTCCATCAATATCAAACGCATGATTGCCACTCTGTTGATCCTTGAAGTGAATTTTTGCAAGTATGCTGATTGGATTCACTGTCCACTTCTGGTATGTGATACCTGTGAGCAGTCCTAGCCATGGTGATGCATGGCACTTCATGTCCGTAGTGCAACCGGCTTAATATTTATGTACTGGTCTTTTTTTTTTTCATTTACCTAAATAAACACAACAAAAAATTTTAGACAGAATTTTAGAACTTTATGATGATAAAAATATTGATGCTCTTTGAGTCAAAGTTCAAGTCAAGTCAAGTCTGCTTTATTGTCAATTCTTCCACATGTACAGCACATACACACAGAGAATTGAAATTGCATTACTCTCAGACCCTTGGTGCATACAGATAACATTAACAGTAGAACATAAATACAGATATACAGATTAAATATTAAATACAACTATACAAATAAGGTAAAATTTAAAAAAATATATACAAGGCACATGGCAGATAGAGTGCAAACCAGTGAAGTAGACAACAGTGCAGATATAATGATTTGTAGTGTCAGGAGAGATCCTCTGTGATGTGCACACCCAGCAACTTGGTGCTGCTCACCCTCTCCACAGTCACACCACTGACGGACAGAGGAGCATGCTGAGTGCGCACTCTCCTGAAGTCAACAACAATCTCCTTTGTCTTCTCCATATTTAGAGAGAGATTGTTGTCACTGCACCACCCGGCCAGGCGGCTCACCTCGCTCCTATAGTTTGTCTCATCTCTGTTGCTAATGAGACCCACTACAGTCGTGTCATCCGCAAACTTAATGAAGAGGGTCAACAGAGTGAAGAGGAGGGGGCTCAGCACACATCCTTGGGGGGCCCCAGTGTTCAGTGTGATGGTGCTGGATGTGTTGCTACCGACCCGAACTGCCTGAGGTCTTCCAGTCAGAAAGTCCAACAGCCAGTTGCACAGCGAAGTGTTGAGCCCCAGCTGGACCAGTTTGTGAATGAGCTGTTGAGGGATGATTGTGTTGAATGCTGAACTGAAGTCTATGAACAGCATTCTGACGTATGAGTCTTTTTTGTCCAGGTGTGTGAGTGCTGAGTGGAGGGTAGTGGCGATGGCGTCATCGGTCGAGCGTTTGGACCGATATGAAAACTGGAAGGGGTCCAAGGAGGGGGGAGGGCAGACTTGATGTGGTGCATGACTAGCCGTTCAAAGCACTTCATGAGGATGGGGGTAAGTGCAACTGGACGTAGTCATTGAAGCAGGATGGAGACGACTTCTTCGTGACTGGAATGATGGTGGTAGCTTTGAAGCATGTGGGGACAACAGCCTGGTTTAGCGAGATGTTGAAAATGTCTGTGAAGACATCAATGAGTTCCACTGCACAGTCTCTCAGTACACGCCCAGGAATGTTGTCAGGACCCGGAGCTTTGCGTGCGTTGATCCTGCGTCCCTTACAGTCCTCTGAGTTTAGCGTAGTAGTCGGATGTAGTCCAGTTTATTGTCCAAAGAGCGTATGTTAGCCAGTACGATGGTGGGGATAGCTGGCTTGTGTGGGTTAGCCGCTAGCCTAGCCCGGATACCTCCGCGCTTACCCCTCTTCTGCTTCCTCTCACGCCGCTTGTGGCGCCTCCGCTGTGGGCGAGATGCAGTAGTGGGGGTCGGTGATGGTGTGGGCCTCCGGAGCAGACCGAGATCCCGCAGCTCTTTGGCGTGCGCAGAGTTTAACTCTAAAAATGTGGTTCTGCCGACATCGAGCAGAAACTCACGACTGTATGCACGCTTAGAGACAGATAGACACGACGAATACGTACAAAAACACTGCGACTCACAAGACAAAAAACACGAAAACACCTTTCTGTCGGGAGAGAGAAGTGTGAGTGTGAACACGCCGCCATCTTGAGGGTATTCCCCTTAAGTTTACATTAAAGGTTTCTCAATGAAAGTAATTGGTTATCGGCTGTGTCGGTAAACAGACACTATAGGGAACTTTTGGCTTCCGTGTAGTGATGTATATTTCTCTTAGATATGCCACAGAATTGCATGCCTTGGGAGTGTGAACTGATTGTACCTGTAAGCGTACCTTAACCAACAATGCCTCTGCTAATAGTGAAGCTGTAAGTTTAAATGCTTTTGTGGCTGGCTTCATTCAAGTGTTGACATTTTACACACTACAGAATTTTACATATTAGTCAATATATACGTATTTTCTTTAAATATGTTAGTCAAATACAGTACATAGTATTTTAATGTCAAAAATAAATAAATAAATAAATACCCAGCAGCTTTCTGAACGCTCAAAACCAACCAGTGAGACAGATTTTCAACATTGCATTATAGCTTCTTCAAAACTTCCTCTTTTACATTCCGCAGGGAAAAAACAGCATACAAGTTTGGAATGCCAGAGTGTGGGCCAATAATGTCAGAATTTTCATTTTTGGGTGAACTGTTCCTTTAAGAATAGTTGACAAATCTCTGGAGTTGACCTTGTTTAAAAGTACAGAGGACAGTCTTCTTCTGGGAACATATTTTTATTTGATCTGCGCTCACCAAACACACATTGACCATGAGAGATAGAGATAGCGATATACTTGAAGAATCCATGAACTGCGCACACACACAGGTTTGTTTTTATGGTTTATGGGGACTCTCCATAGGTGTAATGGTTTTTTACTGTACAAACCGTATTTTCTATTGCCCTACACCAACCCTACCCATCGCAGGAAACTTTCTGAATTTTTAGATTTTCAAAAAAACTCATTCTGAATTATTTATAAGCCTTTTGAATTACGGGGACACTGAAAATGTCCTCATAAATCCCGTTCTCGTTGTAATACCTATGTCATACCCATGTTATTATACAAATTTGTGTCCTCATAAACCACATAAACACGCACACACACACACACACACACACACACACACAAAAACTGCTCTGCTCTGCTCTGTTTAATCCATAACCAGCCAACATGGGAATGTAGTCCAGAACACTTCCCATGTCAGCTGGGAATTGCAACGGTATAATGCAATGTTCAGTTACACTGTCTTTCTGTTTGTCTAGTTGATTTGAGGGCTCACAGATGGCCTCTCTGAAAGCAAGGCTTCAACTGAGCAGCCTTGATGCAGGTTAAGTAAACACATTGAACTCTGGCCTTGAGTCGAGCCTTGCGTTTCACTTTCACACAGTGCCATGATGCCATGTTTATCAGGGAGTGTGTGATAAAATTGTCCCATATTACACATTTAAATAGTAGCACTACTCACATTTAAAAAAAAATGTCTGCCTGTTATGTTATTTATATTGCTGGGAAGTGATTAGGTTTAGGTGCAGGTTTAAAAATATCTATGTAATAGTATAATGTAACTATACTAATTTAATATATATCATATGATCTTATAATAAATTATTTTGCATTTAAACAGATGCATAATATGAATCTGTGGCAGACACCTCTGAAATGAGATCACCAGAAAGTTTTTTTTGGTAGTGTATATACATTTCTTACTAACAAATTTGAAATGTCGTCACTGTTTAGTGTTAGTAATGATAAATAACTATGCACTGTATGCATAATCCGCTTTTTGAACAAAAAAAGAAAAAAAAATGTTTACCACTATTCTGACTATATCGCCCGGCTGTGGCAGTCCAATCACACATAAATATACACTCCATCACACAAAAGTATTGAGCATTTTTGCTTTTGGAGTGATGTTGATCTCAAAAAGAGCTTTTGTCCAAAATGGTCATTTAAGTTACTCTGAA